TGCACCTTCTGCGGGCTCCGGTCTCGGACCGGTCCCCTTTGATCTAATCCGTGCGCGGGAACTTGGGCAGGCCCCATCTTTTGAAACAGATTCCCTAACCTCAGCAGGGTTTCCTCCCCAGTCTCCCAGCCCCCAAACCTCACTCAGGTTCCCCTGAAGCTTTCCCGGCACCCACGGAGCGAGGCGTCTCATGGTGGACTCCGTGCTGCAGGAGAGCCCCCACCGTTTGGGGGTTTTTTTGGGAAACGGCTCTTCCTTTTTAAAGGGAAAGATTTGTCCGTGGCTCCTGCGCCAGCTCGGAACAGCCTCCCGAACTCCCAAGATTTACGATTCAGCTCCTGTTCCTTGACAGGGTCGCACAGACTGGTTAGGGGGCAGAGCAGAGGGTCAAGGTTTGGGGCGCCCCTGCTTCCCAGCTGCGCGGATTCGATCCATGTGCTCCTCTGGGGCATTACTGAACTGGCACGGAGCGCCGTTTTCAAGCAGACGCCGGGAGCTGGCCTTTGGATGAGAATATTCTTCCCGCTTCCAGAGGAAAGTCCTGGGGAGCTAGCGGTTGCTAGAAGTCTTTCTTTGCAGTTTCAGCTGGGAATTCCGGGACGCGAGCCGCTGGACGCCTCCTCAAACCAATAAGGGCGCAAAACTTCCCTCTTTCCACTTGGTTTTCCCCGATTTCCGCCCGTCGTTTGACACTGAGTGCCGGAAGGGTCCAGAACTGAACTCTGATTAAAAAAAAAAAAAGGCACCCCATTGCAGCCAAGTTCACGTCGATTCTTAGCTTTGCTGTAAAAGAGAGTGAACTGCCCCTTTGATTTAAGAGGCTAAACATTTTTATGGGAACAGACAGCTTCATCTTTCTCCCTCAGAGTGGCTGGTGGGTATGCTTAAGCCAGCGCACCACCATGGCTCCTTTAATGCAGACTAGGGAAGGAGGTTGTGTGGAAGGTTTGGCAGTGAAAGCCAGGGTCAGACTTCAGATTTTGCAACCTCCCACTTAAATGAAGGGGAAAGAACCATTCTGTGGTTTGTCAAAGACCCCTGGAGGCTGGCGCTTCAGGACATGTAAGACAATCCTCCTTCCGGACTAGGCACTAGAGGGGTGCTGGGTTTGGGGACCTGGGAGAAAGGGACAGCCCTTCTGGCCTAAAGCCATTAGAGGGGCTTCCAGACAATACCTGGACTCCCTGCCTGTGTAGGGAGGGCTTCAGATTCCAGTCCCTGGGGCCAGCAAGTCAGTATCCCTTTTGGGTCTGCGCTTTGTCACTTCTTGGAGATAAATGAATTCAGATGGGCAGCCTGGCCGTAAGGAGACAGTCTGGAATGGATCCTGCCATGCTTTGGAACCCTTTTGGCTCTACTGGCCAGCATCTCTTCACTACCCTTGCCACTCACTCATGTGCCTGCACTGAATCCAGGAATGGCATCAAGGCGGCTAGGTCACACCAAGCACTTGGTATGAACAATTACTCTTCTCTGATCTTTCTAAGAGTGGTGATGGTGGTGAGGTGGTAACACACCTAAACTGGTGCTAGTACTAGTACTAAGCCAAGCTCACTGCCGTGGGCTCATTTCGGACTCATAACGACCACAGTAGATTTTGCCCTTGTGACTTTCCCAGACTGTCCCTCCTTGTAGCAATAGCAAGCCTCGTCTTTCTCCTGCGGAGCAGCGGCTACTGGCACCAACATAATACTAACCACTTGAAGTGATTTCTCCATCATGCCCGTAACAGGAGAGGGAGGGGACTGCGAGGGGCAGAGGGAATGGAAGGTTCCAAGTTCAACTGGGTCTGGGAAGGCTGTTTATGTACAAAGGGGAGAGGTTCCCAAGAATGGTGGAAGAAGGCAACACCGCAGGGCAAAAGCGAGTAGAGTTTCAGGACCGGTGGGGGCGCGGAGGTGGGGAGGACGCCCGGGCGCAGTGACGGGAACCAATGGGCTGCCAACTAGTGTGTCTCCTGCGTGACTGCGGAGATTGACGTGTAGGACACGTCAAATTGATCCCTGAACTTCGCAGCTTCCCGATCAGACGAATTTCTCCCAATTGAATGAAGTTCACTCTGGACCTGGGGTCGCGGACGTGGAGGGTGTCCTGGGAGCGGGCGGCTGGTGAGGTCGCGCGTGGTGGCGCGCGAGGCGGCGGCTCTCCGCGCCTCTCCAGCCCTCGCCCAAGCCTCCGGGGCTCTGGGCTCCCGCTCGCCCTCGCCCTCCCTCTATGCCTCTCAGGCAGCCGGGACGCCCAAGCTCTGACGGACCGCGGCGGGCCCAGCCCCCGGCGTCCCGGCGCCAGGCAGCCGGCTGGCCAACGCACCATGGGTAAGGGGCGGGCAGCGGGCAGGGCGCGGGTGGGCTGGGCTGCTGTAGTGGGTCCTGTCCTCGCGCTCCTTTCCCTTTCGCCTGTTTCCTGTGGGCCACCCAGTCCTGTGGTCTGCCAAACTCCCCAGCCTTCGGGGCCCAATTCGGCGCGACCTCCAAGAGTGTCCCAAGTAGTAAGGACAAAAAGGCAAAGAGGGCTGGAGGGCACAGGGCCTTTCTTGGCAGCCCTTATGGCTGGTTACTCTTACTCCCAGAACTCTTCCCAAGCGGTTGGAACCCTGGGCGCCAAACCGACTGGGGATCCGCGGGGATGCGCAGGTCGCCTGGTCTCCTTTGGCCACGGGCCCGCAGGCCGTCCCTGGGGCAGCGCGGCCACGCTTAGCTAACCCACCAGTGATTTTTCTCCCCGTCTTCTCGCTCTCGCCGGGCCCGTCCGCAGAACAGACTTACGGCGAAGTGAACCAGCTGGGAGGCGTCTTCGTCAATGGCCGTCCTCTGCCCAACGCCATCCGTTTGCGCATCGTAGAATTGGCTCAGCTGGGTATCCGACCCTGTGACATAAGCCGGCAGCTGCGCGTGTCCCATGGCTGCGTGAGCAAGATCTTGGCGCGCTACAACGAGACCGGCTCCATCCTACCAGGAGCTATTGGGGGCAGCAAACCTCGCGTCACCACCCCGAACGTGGTCAAGCACATCAGGGACTACAAGCAAGGTGATCCTGGCATCTTTGCCTGGGAAATCCGCGACCGGTTGCTGGCCGATGGCGTCTGTGACAAGTACAATGTACCTTCAGTGAGCTCCATCAGCCGCATCCTGAGAAATAAGATCGGTAGCCTTGCGCAGCCGGGTCCCTTCGAAGCGAGCAAGCAGGCGCCACCTCAGCCAGCGCTGCCCTACAACCATATTTACCAGTATCCCTACCCCAGCCCCGTGTCTCCCACGGGCACTAAAATGGGCAGTCACCCTGGAGTCTCAGGCTCCACAGGCCACGTCAGCATCCCCCGTTCTTGGCCCTCGGCGCACTCGGTCAGCAACATCCTGGGCATCCGGACATTTATGGAGCAAACAGGTCAGTCGTGGAGGCCCCTGTCCTGGTGGCCTGCCAGGAAGGGGCAGCCATCAGCTGGCAGGAGTGAGAGTGGGGGCGGGGGGGGGTGATTCCTGTTCTGGCTCAGAGGGGGGTTCAAGGCTAGCAGGGGAAGCACCAGGGGCGCCGGCCTTCTGTGGGAGTCCTCGGACATCTTGAACTTTTTATGACAAATATGGAAAATATTTCCCAATGGAAGAGCAATCGCAGACCACAAATTCAGAGGCCTGAAATTGCCCCTTTTTATTCTTGCAAAAAGTATGCAAACCCCTATCGACAAATCTAAGGCAAACAAACGGCTCCTGGAATTCTTCAACCCCTTTAGCTTTCTGGATGCCTCACTGAACCTCCAAAGGGTTCCATCCATGTCCGTTCCAGGCTCAGTCAGCCTTTGGAGTGACAAAGAAAGGTGCCCTGTGGCCAGTCTAACCTAGAGTGGCCTGGATTTTCAGCAGGCCTAGATTCTTAGGGACCTGAAGTAGGAACCTGATTGATGGCCCCATGGGCATCTGGGGTGAGAGCTCACAAGGGTTTGTTCTTTGCATGCAATTGGAATTCGGCACCCTATTGGTGCTCTTTCTCGTGGTGGTGGTGCCGTGGCGGTGGTCCTGGCGGCAGTAGTGTGGTGCTGGAGGTTTTGGGACAACCTCTGTGCTCAGGTGAGACATGTGGACCTAAGCCGGGTTTCTTGTTTCTAGGTACTAACTTTTACTTCCTGCAGCTGATTGGGGATAGAGGGCTTCTAGAAGGATAAGAGGCAGAATTATCTGTAGCTCAGGAGATAGTAAGGACCACGGGAGAGATGCTGCAATCGGTAAGCTTCGACAACAGTCAGAGAGCTTCTGGGGCTTCACACGTTCAGACTACGCTGGGGTCAAAGCTTCGCTGGGACATTGCTGAGGCGTTTGATGCAGCTTTGAGAGGGACTGGTGTGTTCCAAAGGTAGTTTGGAGCAGGATTGTCGCTTGGACCTCCAGATGCTATTGAGGCTTTGCAAAACCTATGTGTCAAAAGGTCATGAACGTTGAACATAGTGGCAACGGGTATTTGCCCTTTAATGCTACACTTTTGTCCTGACTTTGAAATGAGCTAACCTCTCCTCTCAATAAATTTCTCATCAAAGTCCCCTTTATTTTGCTGCTCATGCAGTTTTAAAATAGTTGAAAAGGTTTAGAACCCCTTTTCGTACTAAAGTAAGGATAAATAAGAATCGTATGCACCTGTTCCCTCATACCTACAAATTCTACTTAAACACACACTTAGGAACAGGGAGAACGATCATCATTGAATCCCTATGCCTCCCAGTAATTCTTAGGCGACTGCTGTGAATATGGAACTGGGACCCAGCAACCCTTTCCAGGGACTGTGTCTGCTGGGTAGCTGAGTTTCAGCCAGCCTCTGGATAGACAATCGAATTCAGGGGAAGCAGCAGGGCCAGGGCTGTGAAGAATGAGGAGGCTGGGCAAACTCTCCTCCCCATAGTCAGGCTAGGAGCAAAAGCGAAACACTGCGATCTGTGGATCACTCACCCCCCCTCTGCGACATCTTAGAGTGTGACCACCTTTAGATGTTGAGGAATCCTTCACTGGCCGGCTTCGGACAAGAGCTAGGTGATTGTAGGTGCTTGTGTACGTCTTGGCGGGCGAGGTCCCATAACCCTTCTACTCTATCATGTGCCCCAGCAGGGGCCCTGGCTGGGAGCGAAGGCACAGCCTACTCCCACAAGATGGAAGACTGGGCCAGCGTGAATCGTACCACCTTCCCGGCCACCCAAGCAGTGAATGGGCTTGAGAAACCTGCCTTGGAGGCGGATATTAAATATCCTCAGGTAACTGAGCAGTAGGAAACTTATCCTTTAACTAAAAAAGCAGAACAGATAGAAGAGGCCAGGGAGACAGACAGGGAAATCGACAAAGTTGATTGAGCATAACAGTGTGTGCCCTCGAAGTGTTTCTCTTTTCTCTAGCTCGCTGGTTTGTGTGCTTTTGGAGGGGCCTTCATTTGCCTTTGGCCAAGATGCCTTTCACTTTCTGTAAACCCAAAGCGAATTCCTTGTTCCCATGGCTAGTATTGCAGTTATTATTACAATTAGAGTGGATTTAAAATTACCGGTTCCACATAACAATTATAAAGCTCTGCTGTGGCATTAGCTGTGGTTAGGCTTACAGCAATGTCAGTAGTTCAAACCCACTAGTTAGTTGCCCAGTGGGAGAAAGTTATCTACTCTGAAAAAGATTTACCATCTCAGAAGCCCTATACACTGTAAATTAGTTTCATAGTCATGATGACTTGCTGGCAGTGTGTGTGTGTGTGTGTGTGTGTGTGTGTGTGTGTGTAACTATAACAATTAGCGTGTATTAAAAATAAAAAATAAAAAAAGAGCTCCAATTAATACCATTAGAAGCCAGGCCTCAAGCGAAAGTAATTGATGGAGACAGTTTGGGGGAAAGGAGGATTCCTCACTTCTGGAATTGTGTGTGCTGGAGAGGCCAGGGAGGGAGACAACCTGGGAAGCCTTTGGCTGACTATCTGTCCCCTCTACCCTTAGTCTGCCGCAAGCCTCTCAGGGGTGGGCAGCTTCGTTCCGGCCTGCACCTACCCAGCGTCCAACCAGCACGGTGTGTACAGCGCATCAGGTGGCGCTTACCTCGCCCCAGGTCCGCCTTGGCCACCTGCGCAGGGCCACCCGCTGGCACCCTCTGGGGCCAGTGTGGCCATGCACAGTGGGGAGCTCGCTGCAGCAATGACGTTCAAGCATCCCAGCCGAGAAGGTGAGGGGTCGGGCAGGGGTGGGCTGGATGCCCTGATGGCCAGGAAGGGGGCAGGGAGGTGGGCTTGAGCCTGAGAAGTGATCACGGAAGAAAGGAAGAGGAGAGAAGTGTGGATGTGGGATATAGAGCCATAAATACCCCCAACCAGGGTGATGGTTGATATTATCCCCTCAGTTAAATGCTATGCATGTAGTAGGTTAATTTCTAACCATATGTTCAGAAACATATGCCTATGTTTCTACAAAGATACACCGAGGTTGGGTGGGACCCTAGGTCTATTTCCCGTCTCACAAGAGGGCTCCGGAGTGTATGAAGAGAAGAGAAAGAGGGTCAGGCTGGAAAACAGGACTTCTGCGTTTGGATCTAGCTTTTTGTGCCTAGTCGCGACTGCATGGAAGAAAGATTAGGTTTTACGTCCTCTGGCGAAGATTTACAGCTGCCAAAACCCAAAGCAGCAACTCTGCTTCGCCCTAGAGCAGAAATTGACTTGGTGGCAGTGGGTAGGTTTATGCCTCAGCCTGGTTATTGTTTCTCTTTGGACCTCAGTTTCTCTCTCTGTCCATAAGAAATCTTGAAGGCACCCTCCAGCTTAGCTTTTCTGTGGTCTACGGAGTGATGCCTTCAAACCCTGGTCTCTCCTTGGATTCATTTAAAAACAAAAACGCTGCCTGTAGAAAAGCAGAGAGCAATTCAGTCCTGTGGCCCCAAGTTCAGGCTCTTTTGAAATCTGGATGGTCCCAGACCTTCCTTCCTTCCTTTTGTCCGTTCATTCATGTATGGGACATATAGCCAGGTGATCTCTCTCTCTTCTTCTTAAGTCTCATCTTCAATAAATCTGCTCCCCAATAAACCAACTAGCAGGTCTGAAGTACTTCACTGACAGTCAGCTGCATGAGAGTTTGATTTCTTACACTGACCTTTGATTTCTGAGTTTTCCTTTATCTTGAGAAAAGTTTGTCCTTCCGTATGTCCTTATTTTTGTAATTGGAAAAAGGAGCTGAGTAGGCTTCATTACCTTCAATCTGACTATATTTAAATTTGGATGGGCCAGCAGTTTGCAAAGACCATGGAAAAGAAGGGTGTCATCCCAGGGCACCTTCAGCCTTTTCAGAAAGGGGAACAGGGCACAGTATGGAATGGATGTATGTGCCCATATTACAACAGGCCCTTTACTCGTTGATGTGGCTCACATCTGGCAGTGTGTGTGTGTGTGTGTGTGTGTGTGTGTGTGTGTGTGTTGGGGGTGGGGGACAGGTGGCAATAGGACAGGCAGAGACAGAGGGTAAATGAAATCCAGGCAAAAAGTGCAACTTGCAAGTAGTTGAGCCGTTTCTGTGAGGCACAGTGAGCCATGGCGACAATATCTAGGAAAGAGAGAAAGGATTAAGATGAGAAAGGATGCCATGTTTCCTCTTTCAGAACAAACATCCGAGATATTAGGGTAATGTTCACTTGCTTAATTACAGGCAAATTCAAGTACAAAATATTTATAAAAATTGAGAATTAGGACTGTTTTATGATTTAAATTAAAATTTCATTTAAATCACAGGATACTAGAACCCATTCAATAACAGGAAAATCTAAGTAAAATAACTTCTTTAATATTAGTAACTAAAACTCCTGTATGCTTTAAATGTAAGAACAGATAGTGAGTGTCAGGGTGAATATATAGCTTTCTTGCCATTGGTCTCTAATCTTCTCAATACACTAGGTTATAAGTCAAATTAGAAGTTGAAATAAAATTTACTTTATTACATTCATCAACAAATCCTTTAACTAAGCAGGTTTATTTTAATTAGAAAAGTATATCCACAAATATGATTGATTTCCCCTGATTAGTCCAAAAGAAAGGGAGAATTTGCATAAGGATAGTATCTCTTCTGAGGTAATTTCCAGTAGAACTTACTCTGTCCTGGGGTGTTCCGATCTAATTAGAAACAGCTATAAAGCGTAGATAATAGTCCAAAGTTAAACCATACGGTTCTGGATTCTAAACTAATACTAGTTAGTTCAGGGAAGAGTTTTCAACATTTAGACTGGTTGATTTTATTAAAAGATATTGTTCCCTCAGAAAGTCTATGTAATGGCTCTGACTTCTTTATCACCTTTACCACTTATATTATAAAATATCACACTTCACTGTCAATGATTAGAAACACTGATCATAAAACAATTGCTGATACTCATGGTTCTTTAAAGGTGCAGGCAAAAGGAGCATTCAATCACGCAGCCTCATCATTAAAAAAATAATTTCTCAAGCTGGCATATATATATATTTCTTTGACCTGGAACATAAAAACAATCATATGTTAGCTGCCATTTTTCACAGGGTGAGAATTATATACTTGACTTTTTGTTTTAAAAAAAAAACACTACCACCACCCAAACCAAATCACCCTAAATGATTTGAATCTACCTTGGCCATTCTAATTATTACTTAAGAGGAGACAATTTACTGTCATTAATTGTTCAATTCCTAAGAATGGTAGGAATAGCATTTACAAAGAAGCATGGCATTTCCTTTTGATCATCCTGTATATGAATAGAGAACTGGAAAGAGAATAAGGGCAACTGAGGGAGCACAGAGCACACTGGCTGAGAGCTTCCTGAAAGGTCTCCAGGTTTGAAGCTACCAGTAGCGCTGAAGGAGACCTAGTGCTCTGTTCCCTTAAAGATGACAATCAAGCAGAAGTTCCACCTTGTCTTGTAGGGCCACTATTTATGAGCCAGGATCTGCTGGAGGGCACATAACAATGTGTTATCAATCTCCCTGTAAACAAACATCTCAATGGCAACTGCAAGGGAAGCCTAAACAAGTATCAAAATATGCATTACAATTTCTTAATTTTATCTTGATAAATAGTCGTGAATGTGGGCTCCCTATTACATAGGCATAAAAAGATGACTTACATCTCACATCCCTGGAAAGGAAACTTTAGTTATGGGATCAGCGTGAAAAATAGGAACACTTCACTTGAACGACCCTTTGAGGGGCTGTCATTCAAGGAAGCTCCATACCCATCAGAATGCCCTTCATAGCCAAGTCAAACCCATGGATTCCCGTTCCCCAAGGGGTGACACATCCACCAGGTCCCTTCAAAGTACAGAATGCTTTCACAAGCCACCAACACCTCTTTTAAAGGCTTCTTGGCTAGACTAATGATTCAGAAATAGAATTTATGAGATATTGTATATAGGCAAGAAGCTCTGGTGGTACAGTGGTTAGGAGTTACTGTGATCCACATGGTGGGCAGTTCAGAACCACCAGCAACTCCTCAGGAGAAAGACTGGGCTTTCTACTCAGTCTGGAAACCCACCGTGGGCTTGCTATGAGTAAGTCATTGCAGTGAGTTTGGTTTGATATATCAATCGGGTTGTTTTTTGTGTTTTTTTTTGAGGGAAGGGGAGTTGTTTTGTTAAAAGAATGAATTCGTTACCTTTATCTGTGAATTCATTCTTGAGGGATCTTCCAAATGAAGGTTGTGTGCCACAACTTGACCTAGGTGCTTTCAAGCTCCTGCTATCTTCCCAAACCTAGAGAGCACCCGCTGTCTTGAAAATTATAATTATTATATTATAAAATGCAGACAAATTATGTCCCAATATTTTAAAACTCATGTTTCTATTCCTGCCTCCAGAGTTTAAATGAACCCACGGAATCCCTAGTGGACCCAGCCCTCCACATTCTCCATTCCGGGGTTCTCAGCGTTGAAAAAGGAGGGAAGAAGAGACCCTTTGGGAGACACTGGCTAGGTCCAAAGCTAAACCTGGAAGCTGGATTTGCCCCTGCAGTTTGGGATGCAGTCACCTACCTGACTCTCCGTGCTTATTTTTCAAGGATTTGGTTTTTGTTTGTTTTTTTTGCTTGTCTCTAAGACAACCAACAAATGCCAAGAAATATTTTCTAAACAGGTCCTCACCTTGATGTGTGCATAAGGATGGAAAGAAAAAAATGAGGAAAGTTCTTGTGCTGGGCTGTCACAACTGTGTTTATAAAAGAGAGCTAGAGGGATGCAGGTTAGCCTGTCTGTCTGAAACTTCTTCCCTCTTGGACATTCTTTCAACTAGGTGTGTGTGTGTGTGTGTGTGTGTGTGTGTGTGTGTGTGTGTATGAGAGACATAGACAGACAGACAGACGCAAGGAGAGAGAAACTGCATACACAGTTCTTATCAAGCAAGCACAAGGTGTAGGCTACAGTTGGGGCAAAGTAGTTCCAGAAAACAGATGGATGGATAGGTAGCTAGCTACCTTTACCCCATATACAGAGATTCCAAGCTTCCTTTTAAACAACTTGTTTGAAAGAAAAGAAAACGGAAATAGGCCCCTTTAGGTATAAGCAAACTTGTTTTCCTTGTGCAGAAAAATCCAAGCCACCAGGGACAACAGAGGTTGTACAAGGGTGGTGTCATGTCCAGTTTTCTAGTCGTCAAACTGCAATTGGTGTCCCCTGGCAGCAGCTCTGGGGGGGGCACAACTAGGATAGGTAGAGGTGGCAGGACAGTCTCCTGGGTTGCCACTCCACATTGTCTGCCTCTAACGTCTGATCTGAAGACCTGGTCCATCCTCCCCAACCCTCCATTGCCCTTCTCCCAGTCCCCAGTTCCCCTTACTCCCTCCCTATCCCAGAAAGGTCACTAGACAGTGCCTGTCTGCCTTTCATCTCCTTTATGCTGTGGGGTGGAGGGGTGGGGTGTGAATTGGGGAAATGGGACAGCAAAGGGAGTTGCTTCCTGTGGGGCATCAGGGGGCTCTGGTGAAATGGCCCCCACCAGATGTGCAGCAATGCAAGGCCAGCCTTCTGGGGGAGGGAAAGAGTGGTCTGAAGAGCCGCCGGGCTCTTGGAGAGATCGGGCCCTGCTCTCCCCAGAACCCTTGTTTCTAGTGTGCTCACTGCCCAGCCTGAAGCTGCTGATGCTGTAGTTGTTTCCATTTTGGCTGGCACTGGGGATCCAGGGTCTCTCCCAGTGCTGGTGGATGACCCCACATCTTTGTGCTTTCTTCTCAGCGGCAGACCAGAAGCGGCCCAGCCCGGGAACCAAGGCCTCTGGTGCCCTTGGGAGCTTCCAGGGACTACCCATCCCGGCCTCCACTGCCTAGGAGCAGCTTGCCCCAAGCCCCGGTCAAGCCTGGAGGAGGTGGACCGACAGACGGACAGAGCAGGGCGCTCAAGCAGGACCCAAGAAGACCTGGACACAACTCTGCAGCCAGCCCACTGGCTCTGGGGTAGTCTTGTACGCTGGCCTAGCTGGCCACCAGGCTTCCTTTAGTGGCCCTATTTCTAGTCCTTTTCGGAACTTTGGGGTTTTGACGTGGCCTTCCTGGTAGCCTCTTTTTGTCCCTTTTCCTTTCTCCACTTTGTCTGCTCGTTCTCTCTTGCTAGCTGTCTTTCTCTTCCCGCCCTCTTACTCTGCCTCCTCTTCCTTCTCTGTTTTCCTCTCCTTTCTCCCACTTCTTTTTACAGCCCCCCCTGCCCCACCCCTGTCCTTATGTTTGTTTCTTGGCCCCTCTCTTTTCTCTGGTGTGTGGACATGATTCCCTCCGCCTACTCCTGTCTGTGGCTTTCATCTACAAAAGCTGCAGTCCACAGACAACCTAACTCTTCCCCCGTTTAAAGGCCCCAGACAATTCCTTCAGCAGCTGCAACTCAGTGTCCCTCCCTCCTTCCCCTTCCTCTCAGCTTCAAGTGATCTGGCCTTACACGGTGGTCGTGGATAAAGCAGCCACAGCCTTTCAGTTTTATCCTAATGATTTCTCACAAAAACCCAATGAACTCCCAACTTCGTGACTCCCCCCACCTAGTATATTGTCTGGAAATCTGTATTTTCTCATTATTCAAGGTTGGGGCTTCTCTTTGTTTTCCCAGTGCTGATGTCACCTAACGGGGAGGGGGGTACTCCAGGAAAGGGCTGGGTCCCCTAGAGCAATGGTGTTTTTAGTAGTTAGAAAACCACAGGATCTTGAAGTGGCTCCTTGCCCCCAACACAGGGATTATGACAAGTGACAAGGGCATCATGACTGTCTTGGTGTTCAGGGTCAACATGTTTATTGATGAAAATCCCAAACTGCTTCTGGGTACAAAGGTATATTTAAATTTATGGTTTGCAAGGTGTGTGTGTGTAGGGGAGGGTAGGGGGTAGGATGGGGGGGTGGGGTGGGCAGGAAAAACCTTGAGAAGTATCTCTGAGAGCCATACAGTACACAATAGCTGTTAAATGCTTACAAGTTCCAGTGCAGTGGTGGTAGGACTCTGGATAAAAAAGGGCAATTTTTGAGACATAAACATGTCCCTGGTAAGAGTCATCTAAACTGTTACACGTGGACTAGAAGAGAGGTCTAAGTACCCTTGGTAGAGGTGAGCAGGGGCTATCATGTCTATATTTTGAATGTTGTTTGCCTTCGCTCCACTCTCCACGTTTTCATCAGGATGCTTGTCATTAAAAGGAAATGATTTGATTGGTTTGCTTGTTTACAACCCAATTGGGCAAGAGGTGAATGAGAAAGTAAAATGGGGGCTGGGGGGCATTTGCCATGGGCTAGCCCTGTCTCTCAGCAAGACAGCCAAGGGCAGGGGCAGTCTGAGTGAGGTTCCTCCACCGGTAGGCCCACAATCTCAAGGATTAAGGTAGAGAGGCAATATGCAGATTTCATCCTAAAATCAAGCTAATTCTTAGAGGAGTAAAATGGACGAAAGGCAGTAAGCAGTCTCTGGGGTACTTCCCAGTATGCTTAACATTCTGAAACCCAAAGAGAATGATCTCAGGCTACCAAATCTAAGAGGACGCTAGCGAATAGTTTTGATTTTTCTCTCTGGTTTGCTCTAATCATCCATTGAAAAGTTTGATGGAAGGGAATTTTAAAATGAAGTTATTGTTTTTATTAGCAGTAGAGCAGAAATTACTTTCATTACATCTCTTGGTAATAGTATCTGTTGAAAGTATTAGTCACAAGGGAATATTTCCTTGTTTTTTAACATAGAGATTTTCTTCCCAGCTTTTCAAAGTCTACATTAAAAAAAGTGATACCCTATTTTATAAATTAGAAGATTAGGGGCTAGAAATGGTTATTTCCTCTGGGCCATATTGTAAGGTCTGAAGTATAGGCGTTGGGTTTGAAAATGGGGTCCCATTGTCTCATGAGAAAGCCGGGATTGACATCTTCCCTTTGAGAACCTGGGCTCCCTACCCTTTCCAGCCTGTCCGCCACATGGAGAAACTGGCCACAATAATAACAGGAATAAAGAACGACAAAAAAAGCAAAGCTCCCAGGCCCTCGGTGTTCCGCCCCACACCTCCAAGCCTGTCTCCATGTGCTTACATGAACCGTATACAGCCCATCATCTTTTCATCAACAGGATTTGGGTAGGAGGAAGGCATCTCACCCCTTTCTGAAGAAATGAGGACCCAGGCAACCAACTCTCTCTCTGAAATGTCTTTGTCCTCATTGCCCTGAAACATTCCACTTAGTCCGTGTTTGGCCCAACCAGGGTTAAAGGAGAGAAGAGCAGGCAATGCAACTCAGGATAAATAGAAAAGTCCTATATTTTAAATGCGTTTTCAAGGCAAAACTCTTTACAAACCTGTCCCATGTGGCCCCTCCATCCCATGGCTGGAGGTAGGACTTGCAGAGTTACATGGCTCTGGAAGAGCATCCCCAGAGGATGGGCTTTGTTTGTAGTTACAGTGGCAGCATGCACTAGAATTTCCTGGTGGAGAACACAGAACACACTTTTCTTGAGGCTGTAGGCTATAGAAGTACCACAGTAAAATCACCTTGACGCTCACGTCCATGTGTCTATTCCAACTCACGGTGACTCCATAGGGCAGAGTCGATCTGCTTCTGTGGGTTTCTGAGGTTGTGAATATTTACGGGAGCAGAGAGCTCATCTTCCTGCTGCTGAGCAGCTGATGTGCTTGAGCCACTGACCTTATGCCACCAGAACTGCTTAGGACCCTAGTACCATGGCTGGGATGTACTGTGACTGAGGCCCGTGACCTCGCAGTGAAGTGTATGGAATATGTACATTATGAGCTGATCTGTAGGAGACAGAATCAGTATTGCTCCACGTCTCTGGAAATGATTTGACCAGTTGTGCACAAATAGTAGAGGAGGCTTATTGCGGTTGATGTTGTAGATATTTAAGAACTTATTAGAATATTGCCATTTTTTCCCTTTGTGCATGTGGCTCTCTGGAGGTCTGGGGGACATAGAGTAAAATTACAGGATATCCTGGAAGGAGAATACTTTGAGGAAGAATTATCCCCCAAAGAGCACTAACTCTTGCCATAAATTTTTAAAAAACAAATTTTTTTTCTTTTTAGTATAGGGAAAAGTTTAAAAAGTACCTAACTCCAA